GTGGATGTGCAGACAGACTGTGGATGTGCAGACAGACTGTGGATGTGCAGAAAGACTGCGGATGTGCAGAAAGACTGGATGTGCAGACCATGGATGTGCAGACCGTGGATGTGAAGATCGTGGATGTGCAGACCGTGGATGGCAGGACTGGTCACTTTACTATCTCCCAGCCTTTCCCTGACCAGGTGCTTCCTTCGGTATAGATGTTCCTGAGTGGGGCCTGCAGGGGAGCAACAACCACCGCAGTGCAGAACTAGAGGCCCACATGCGGCAGAGCTGACCTGGGACCGCTGCTACATGAGCCAGAGACAAAGGCTTCCACTCGGGCCTGCTGGACGATGAAGGGAGATGATGTAACTGGATGTGCTGAGAGCCTGGTAACAAAGGCCTCAAGCCACGAGCTGCCAGCCAAAGGTCTGGAAGCCACTGGAGAAGCTGGCCTGACAGAAGGAGGGTGTCCTATTTCCAAGCTAGCTGTAACCTGTGAACCTCCCTCATTAATCAGAGCACAGTCTGTGGGTTCTGTGTGGACACTGCAGTGGATTACACCCAGGAGACAGTGCATGGGAAGGGAGATTGGTGTTGGTGATGAATCTAGTGTGGGAGTGTGAGGCACGTGTGGCCTCAGGGGGACTGTGAGGACTGAGGAGTGTGAGGACTGTGAGGGCACGTGTGACCTCGGGGGGACTCTGTGAGGCTGTGGGGCACGTGTGACCTCGGGGGGACTCTGTGAGGCTGTGGGGCACGTGTGACCTCGGGGGGACTCTGTGAGGCTGTGGGGCACGTGTGACCTCGCAGGGACTGGTTCTGTGCTGTGGATGCTGTCAGTGGGCTGCTCTCCTAAGTGGAGCTTGCGGGGTCTGTACTGTGGGTACGGCTGACACTGCAGATGCTGTTGATGGGCTGCTCCCCAGGTGGAACTGGCAGGCTCTGTGCTGTGGATGCCGTTGCTGGGACGTTTCCCAGAATCAGTGGATGTCAGGCGTGGCTGCATCCTTTCAGCCTCCATCGTGCTTATAATGCAGAAATGCTTTCAGAACTTGCTGAACACGGAGGTGACATGACAGGAACTAATCTAATTCACTGCCACTTACAAAGGAAATCCCACAGAGAGCACATCTCCCCCCGGGCAGCCAGCATCCCACAAAGACCCTGTGTTAACTTGGACCTTGGAGCAGTACAGGAAGTGCTAGGGGCTGTGGTGTCCTGGAGCACTGGACCCAGCGAGGACAGGTGGCCCACCTTCAGGCGCAGTGGCAGGTCCTCAGGGCTTCGTCCAGCCAGCTCATCGTCTTCATCTCCATCTTCACTCTGCAGATTCAGGCCACTGGGGATGATGCCCTTGGCGTACTTCTTGGTGATCTCCACAAAGTCATCAAGCGCTATGTAGCTTTTGGCTGTTTCAGGTTAGAAAGAATAAGGGCCCCGGGGAGGAGAGGTCAGGGGTCTTAGGGAGGAGAGGACGGGGGTCTTGGGAGGAGAAAGCAGGGGTCTCGAGGAGGAAAGGGTGGGGACTGTGGTGGTAAGGACGGCGGGGTTCTGAAAAGGAGAAAGTGGGGGTCCCAGGGAAGAGGGAAGAAGCTGTGGGGAAGGAGGGCAGGTTCCCAGGGAGGAGAGTTCAAGCTGCCATCAAGAACAGGCAGGCAGTGGTCGAAGTAGCAGGGTGCATGGTGGGGTGGGGACCCGGCCAGACAGTGAAGAGAGTTGGTGGAGGTCCTTCCACTTATACCTGCCAGGCCCCTCCCCTCCATCCCCACCCCTCAGTCCTGCCCCTGCTTCAACCCCACCCTTCTGACCTGCTCCTGCCCCCCCACCCCAGCTACCCTGCCACTCCTACCTCTGGCCTGTCCCTATCCCAGCCCCACTCCTCTGGCCTGTGCCTGCCCCTGCCCCTGCCCCTCCCCCATCTGGCCAGTCCCTGCCCCTCCCCCATCTGGCCTGTCCCTGCCCCTCCCCCATCTGGCCTGTGCCTGACCCTCCCACCCCTCTGGCATGCTCCTACCCCCCTCCCCCATGTCTTCACATCCCTGGGGCTGACTCATGCACCACATCCCCTGGCCTGAGAGGTTCACCCAAATGAACCAGGCCCAAATCGCAGTCTACTCTGGTGCCCTGACAGGGAGCCCTGCCTGAGTGGACAGGGAGGGCTGCTTGAGGGGGTGTCAGGCTGAGGGGCCGGCTGGGCCCCAGGCGGTACTCACACTCACAACTGACCAGGCGCTCCAGCATCCGCCTCTGCTTCTGCAGGGACTTGGGGACGGGGCCTGGCTGTGCACTGCCATCTGCAGAGACGGGGCAGGTGAGACCCCGGTGCAGGCTCCAACAGGCACTCCAGTCCTGGAGCCCACACGCAGCCAGAGTCCCAGGTGCCCCACCATCAGGTTCCTGCCCCTGGAAGGCTGCGACCCAGGGACGGAACTCCACCCTCCCCTGCTGCTCCTCCCACAGGGACCCCCTCCTCACGCACCAAGCTGGTGGCCGTGGTCCACCTGTCCCACCCCACATCCTCATCCACCGCTTTCACGGAGGCCCTGTGCAGCCATGGACCTGACCCACCTTCTCCACCCTCCATGCCACCCATTGCTCCCACAGAAGTCTTACCTTCACAGCACCCTCAGTCACGTGCTGAGCCCCCTCACCTGACCCCCTTCTCCATCTCCCCATCTGTTGCTCCTCCCAGAGGCCTCGACCATGGACCTGGCCACATTCTTCACTCCCATCTGCACAGGCCCCAACCCACCTCCACACAACGTACCAGTTGACCTGGCCTTACACCCCATCCCCCACTCCACATCTCCAGCCACCACTCCCACAGAGGCCCGTCCATGGACCTGGCCCAGGTGCTCCACTCCCACCCTCTACCTGCACAGGACCCTCCACGCTCCGTGCCACCCACCTGACCCACATTCTCCGCTCCCACCCAATCCCATCCCACCCTCCACCTGCACAGAACCTGCCACACTCCATGCCATCCACCTGGCCCACGTGCTCCACTCCCACCTCACCTCATCCCACCGTCCACCCACCCAGGCCCCTCACGCACCATGCCCATCCACCTGGCCCACGTTCTCCAGCAGCTCCGACACGGCCACCTGTTTCTCCTTCTTGGGGTTGAGCCTCCAGTACATGACCAGGGCGGCCTTGCGCACCGCACGCTCCAGCTCCGTCTCCGAGCTCAGCTCCTGCACTTGCTGCTCGTTCTCAGAGGTGATGCCTGCGGGAGGGCCGTCACCGTCCACAAGGCGGTCCACAGGATGGCAGGCCCACGGCTCAGGAGGGGACTCCAGCTGAGGTTGGGCACACTGTCCCACTGCTCAGCTAGGAGGCCCTGCAGGTCTCAGGGACCTGGTCTGCTGGCACACCCACCTCTCCTGTCCGCCAGGCAGCGGCGCAGCAGCCGAACGGCCTCGCGGCGGCCCTGCTTGGCAGCCAGAAGCAGCCAGCCCACAGCCGTGCAGTTGTTGAGTTCCTCGTCTCCCTCACTGGCCAGCCGCAGGTAGTGTCTGGCCACCTGCAACGCATAAAGAACGTTCCAGAAGGTGTGCATCTTGGACAATTCTGGGGGACGGCAAGCTGAGTGGTGTGTCAGTCACCAGAACACAAGTATTCTAACAAATATCAGTCTAAAACTAAACTCAAACTCACTGTGAGCGGTCAGGACCCACTCAAAGCCGCCCATCGGCCGGAATCCAGAGGCGGTAATGGGCTCAGGGCACAGGACACTGCCCATGCTTCTGCCGGGAGCTGCTGGTGGACTGGAACCCCTGGCAGGCACTGCCTTGTTACAGCACCGTTCCCTCTGTGCTACCTGACCAGAGCGTCCTACTACACAGCACACAATACACCAGGTGGAAGGACAGGAACAAGACACGGAAACTATCACAGTCGGGTTCACACACAGGGTCCCTGCTGGATGGTCACCGGGACGGAGAACGGAGGGGAGGGGCAGCAGTGCGCAGACACGTGGCACATACAGAAGAGATGACAACACTCGCTCCTCACCTCTGTCTGGGCCCTGGGGTCCCCAGCCTTGGCTTTCTCCAGCACCTCTTCAAATGGGAGCGTTGGGGCCTCCCTCCCAAACTCTGAAACACAGACAGAAGTCACCAGCCAGTCCTCACAGCCGGTCAAAACACGCTGGATCTCAGGACTCTCTGGAAAGGGCAGATGTCGCTGGTCTCACACAAGACCTCAGCAGAGCCTGGTCCCATGTGGTCTCAGGACTAAAGGCTTGGTGGTAACAACTCAGGAATCCACGCTGAGAAGCTATAGTGTCTGCCGACCCCTACTCCCTGGTTCTCATATCCACTGTCCATGGCTGAGGTCAAAGGTCCTAGGACACTCTCCCCAACATCCTCCATCACAGCACATACCAAGCAGCCTTAGCCAGGAGCCCAGTATCCCTTCCGTCCTCTGCCCCTCCCACGCCGCCTGATGCCACAGCTCTGAAACTGACCACTGCACAGCTGCCTGCCTGCTCCACACGGCTCCTGCCAGCTGCTCTCCACACTCCGCCTGAGCCCCCCACCCGGCCTGAGCCCCCGGTCCGGCCTGAGACCCCCACTCCCACCAGCTGCTCTCCACATTCAGCCTGAGAGGGTCTCTCACCCAGCGGCCCTGGCAGCACTGGCCAGGACAGAGGATGCAGGAAAGCTCTGTGGCACGCCCCCCGCACCTCCAGGATCCTCAGGCATGCCCACACCGCACAGCTGGCGTGGTCCCAGCCCAGACCACAGGCCAGTCCTGTCGAAGCTGCCCCAGAGGCCACAAAGGCCTGCGTGTCAGGTGACGGGGAGCTGAGCTCTGGCAGGGCAGCTCCCAGGGCCCGAATGGTGCCTGCTGGTCTATGGCCCCGTGGAGTGTCTGACTAAATGGTCCCAGGACGGGGCCAGGATGATGTTGGGACAGTCACAGCGACAGAATAAAGCATGGGTGCCAACCAACATGGAGTGGTCAGGACAGGAGTCCAGGGTGTGGTCGAGAACTGAGAGACCCCTCTAGGTAGGCTCTGAAGGCACCATGTGAATGTGCCATTTGCCCAAAGCACAGGCCCTCCTGAGAGATATCTAGGACCCGACAACAGAGAACTGGAGGTGCCATGTGGCCACAGCACAGCCCCCCTAGGGAGCCACCTAGGACCAGCCCACAGAGGACTGAAGGTGCCATCTGGCCACAGCACTGTTCCTCCTGGAAAGACATCGAGGACTCAGTCACAGAGGAATGAAGGTGCCTCTGTCCACAACACAGTCGCCCCAGGGAGCCACCTTGGACCTGAGTATGGGTCTTCCCTCTGGGGTTAACCTGCCTCACCTGCGCTGGCAGTGCCTTCCTGGCCTTGGGTGTGCTGGGCCATGGCTGGAGCAGTGGCTGCACGGCCTGTGGGGTGGGGTCCAGGCCCAGTGTTGGGTTCCTCTCGAATCTCCTGCTCCAGTGAGGTGGTGGCATTCAGCCGGGCTCGAGCCTGGGGCTGTGGCATAGGAGGGGGCCGAGGGAAAGAGGGAGCCACTGGAGGCGGAGTGCCAGGGTCCATGCTGCCTGCAGAAAAACACAGGGAGATCAGAGCGGGGTCGGCCAGGACCAGGCTGGGAGCCACCAACCCTGGACCCAGCCTCACCGCAGACGCCGCCAAGACCACCTCCCAGGTCAGGGAAATGACGACACAGTCCACAGTTAAGACTCGCCCTCCCCACCTCCACCGGCTCTCTCATGTTTCTGGGTCCTGTCTGTCCATGTGACCACTGAAGACATGAAAACAATGAAGAAACGCCGACCCCTCACAGGACAGCTAAGGGAGGGCTCACCACAACTTTTACAGAACACAACTTTTTAAGCATGAGAGGGAGTAGGAGGGGGGTGACCCAGGAATTGTTGTGACTGGATGAACAGGCTTGTGCATCATAAACCCCCCAAACCAACACCGGACCACAGGACCACATCCCAGATAAAGGCACAGACACTTGGTCACCTCACAGAGCCAAGGTTGCATCGGCCAGAAGGAAGCCTGGCTGAGCGCTAAAAGGGATAGTGAAAGCCAAACTCTAGAAGGGACCTGGGAACTGCATACGTGAAGGGGTGGAGAATCCACCGTCAAGGAAGTAGGGTCCACGGACAGATACTGAGTCCACACACACTGGGGGGACTCTGGAACACTCGGGCACTCTGTGATCACACACACTCAGGGGGACCCTGGGATCACACATACTACAAGGGACCTCAGGATCACTTACACATTGGGGGAACCCTGGGATCACACACACTTGGGGTGACTCAAGGATCATACACACTCGGGGGAACTCAGGGATCACACATACCAGGGGGGGCCCTGAGATCACACACACACAGTTGGGGAGATCCTGGGATCACACACACATTGGGGGGACCCTGGGATCACACTCACTAGGGGGGACCTTGGATTCACCTGCACTGCAGGATTTGGGCAGAGACAGAAGGGCAGACTCAGGACTGACTAGAAGGAAACGCGCACAGGCTTCAGCTGCCAGCAAGAGGAACCCGCAGGCAGCCGACTCTCCTGTGACAGAATCACTCAGATCCCTGACCGCTCTTCAGAGCCACTCGATGTCCTCAGGGACACCCTCACTAGTGCCCTTAGCAGCCTGAGGAGCCCTCCCACCAGTGTCCGAGGGACCTCCACCACTCAGTGTGAGGACCCCAGTAAAGTGTCTCCAGGGTGCACCTGTCTGGACCAGCACTTGCCCTCAAGGACCTCCCATGTCCAACATGAACCTGAGGCCGTGTCCCCACATGTGAAATGAGGTGACCAGTACAAAGCTCCTCACCCTGCCGAGGTCCTGTGTCCCCACATGTAAAATGGGGTGACAATGGCAACCTGCTCCAGGTGCTCATGAGAACTAAGGGGTCACAGGTGGCTTTGCGCCCCTCTGGAAAGTCACTCCCTACCTGTGTCTGTGACCTGGCCTCTTCCAGAAACGGCTTTGCAGATGGAATAAATGAACACAGGGCCCCCTGCAGCAGGCTGGGTCCAAGCCCCATATGATTTGTCCCACGTGTACAAGGTGCCACTGCCCAACTCACTGCTGGTGTCCTCAGACAAGAGCCACAGAGAAATAGAGGGAGGGACGGAGGAGCTGGCCAGAACATGGCCACAAAGATGGCTGGGAAGTGCAGAGGCTGCAAGAAGCCAGAGTGTCTGCCCTTCTCCCTTCCGCCCCGCCCCTCGGCCTCTCCCCCCCACTGCCCTCCAAGATCTCCAGCCTCCTCTGTATCCCCCCTCCTTGACCTCCTCCCTCTTTGACATCCCTTCCCCCTCCCCAGCCTCCCTACCTGCTCACCATCCTCCCTTCGGCCTTCCCATCCCCTCCTCAAACTCCTTCCCCGCC